AGGCGATTATGATGGTCAAATTCTACAGTTGGATGAGAATGGGAAGCTTTTGAGTAAACCCGAAACCCTACGACTGACTAACGCATTTCAAGCTTGCATGGTGTGAGTTTTACTAAACATCCTTGTTTTAGATATTTAAAAAAAGCAATTTTTGTTCTATTTCTACCTCAGAATTGTTCCTAGAAACTTTGAAAATATTTGAATTGAAGTCGAAATTACAGATTTTTTTCAAATTTAAGTTTTTCAGTTATGAGTACAACAAAGAACGTGATTTCGAACATGTAGTCGGCACATATATGACGGAAACAAGACCGTGTGACTCGAAATAGACCGTATTGAAGTAGATCTTATCGTGTACATGGTGCTATTGCAGAATATTTACAAAAGCAGTTAAAAGATATATTAATTTGGGCAAATGGCGTAAAATGGGTGTTGCTTACGCTCCAAATTAAATCCCATTCTCATCTTTTGTGAAAATTGTTTGCTTGCAATCACACCATGTGCTTGGTAAAGTCTACTCAACTATGGAAATCTGTTTTCATTAGAATGAACTTATCCTGAATTGTTAAATATTATATATACGAAAATATGCTTAATATTCGTTAAATAGTAATAAAGAAATATTAAATTACTGTAACACTCAATGTAAAGTGAGAAAAGTGGTGTTAAAGTTGAGCAAAAGGCCTGTCGCAGGCAAGGTACAATGTCTAGGAACCAACTGATCGATTGAGGATGTTTTTTTTTTTCAGATCCGGCACGCATAACCAATCTCGTTGAATCAGCAAGTTCAATGATCAGATGGGGTGTTGCATTTCTTACTTACTAGGGTTATAAACAGCCTAACAAGGCCATTTATTACGACATTAAAACATAATCCATGGGAATTCTTGTTTTTTGAGAAAAAAGACAAATTTCCATCTTATATTACTCTGTTAGTTTTTTCTTTTTTTGTCTCTGATTATGAGGTAATGGAAGAACAGTAGCAACAATTATAAATAACTACTAAAGTTATTGACGCTGACCAATTCAAATCTAATGTCTGTAAGTGTC